TGCATTGAAAATGAATTTTTCTGTATGAAACTGTATTTTAATAATGAAGTGGAGATCTTTTTTAAAGGTTAAAACCTCATTTAATTCTATGTCATATAGGGTTTATATTGAGTACAATATTGTATAACTGTAATAATTCAACTGTAAACCTAAAACTTACAGCCAGTTTTGAGAGAGATGCATCGTAGCTCAGAAAATTGTTATTGAATATGTCAGTGCTGTTGTAATGAAATGCTTCTTCTAAAAAAAATGGGCAATAGCACTAAATAGATTTTTCTCAAGAAGAGATTCACCAGTGGCCAAAATGCTAGCTTATCATTATGTTTACATTATAGATAGACATAATGTATTATTTCTATCATAATTGATGTTACTAAATATCAGGACAATCAAAATTAAAATGACAGTAGTTTATAGCTTCACTTTTGTCAGAATGAACCCTTTGTGTCATTGGGAGACATAAACTAGAATAGCTATTTTGTAAGACAGAAGTCCTCAAAAAATTAAAAGTAGAGATATCTTAAGAGTCAACAAATCTGGGTAGAGGTCCATTGAAATGATACCCGAAATCCAGCAAAACCCGGTACACTCACATGCAGTACCATGCTAGTCAGGACGCGTTACATCCCTAAGTATCCATCATCTGGAGGATGGATAAAGTGTGGTAGATACACAAAACTGAATACTATTCAGCCATAGTAGTTAAAATGAAAACTTCACCCTGGCTCAATAATAATAACGATGTGGGTCATGGCTCTTAGTTGATCATGTGTCACGTGAAGGCTTGTCTGTGATGGGCACATAGTCTATATTTTATCCTTGTCATTGAACAAACATCCTAACCAAGACAAGCCCTTAGAAGATAATAAAAGGTGTAGTCAAGCATGGACCAATGGCTGATGGAGAATGAGTGTTGTATGGTGAACTAAATGTGTATGGACTTTGACATTCAATAAAAAGCCAATGAATCCGTTTTTCCGTAGAAAGCATCTTCTAGAAACATATAGAAATATTCCAATGTTTTGGGGCATAGTTTCTATGGCCCTGTATTTTATTTCTATCATTATAATTAGATGAATGAGTCATCAATCAGTCAATCAACCAACCAATGAGTCAATCAGTCATGTATTGTTCAATTACAAAATATATGGTAACATTCATGGACACTATTGATTCATTATGAAAACACCCTAGTCCAGGTTGGCATGAAAGGGTCAATTACTCTTCCTTCTTCAACTGAATAAAATGTATAGTCCCTACATATGGACAGTGTAATCACTTGCATCCATGTTCATGTTGTGGGCATGTGGATGCGTTGAATTGCATGTTTCATAAAGTGATAACTTACACTATGTAGTTAATCTATCCCTGTCTGAATGAAAGTTGAAAATCAGGGGGTTATTGTCTATGTTAAGTGTTTATCATTTGTGTTATCCTCTGCTCCTCCCCTCAGGCCTCTCTGAGCTGTTTCAGAATTCTCTTCAGTGTGGAATTCTCTACCCTCAGGAGCTCTTGCTGAGGTCAGTGTGAGTTACAGTATGGCTCTTGCTTTGGTTTGAGTTGTTTTAGTGAAATTTACTGTATTTTAAAAAGCATGAAATCAAGCCCAAATAGGCCCTCTTTCACATTGTGATTAAGATAGATTTGCATGCTAAGCAATGCATGTATAACACTAAAGATCATTAACAATATGTATGTATATATAGGTGTGAGCACAGCTTATTACCTTGTTTGTGAATCCGAGGCATTTGAAGACACTACTAATTAATTAAAGGGTTAGTGTCAGTAAACACTATTGATGAGAAGGAGGGGAGATGGATCCCCTGCTGGACCCATGATGAGAATTCCAAGGTATGAGCCCCAGATGCTGCATGATATGTGTCTGAAACTCCGAGGTCCAGCACCAGAGAGACAAGTGGCTGGCAAGGGCTCGCGAAGGAAAGGGTCATTGTTTTTTTTTCTCTGCTTGTCCTTTCCTCCTCAGAGTTGTCTGCAACTTCCGTGGTCACCAGCCCATCCCTCAGTGCGAACATGAGACAAATGTGAATACTAGTCAAAGCTTGTATGGTTTATGCGGTGTTTTGATGGCTAGTGATTTCCATATTAACAAGTGTTAAGTATGTGACCTGCAGTATGCTCAGTGGTTACAGGCACTTGCCACCAAGCCTAAAGATCAGAGCTTGATCTGCAGAACCCATAGAGTTGAAGTAGACAACAAACTCTCATCTTTATTACCCTCAGTATTAATCCGAACCATGAATTCACAGAGTTCCAAATATCCTGGTCCTAATATCAGAGCGTTGCAAGCAGTATAGTGTGTTTCCTAAATGAAATCTTGCTACAGGCAGCCAAGAGATTTCGTCTCTGGCAAATAGAATCTGTATATAGGTGTTTGGGATCTTACCACAAATTTATTCCTATATTGCATGAGTTATGTGTTTTCCACAATAATTAGTCAATAAACTGATCTAGATGGCAACACAGGAAGGGGTCCAATCCCAGACTGAGGGGCCTGGTGGCATGTGTGAGTCATTCACAAAATTCACCGAGTATCCAGAAATCTGAGGCCAAACAGGAAGCAATGTCATCCAGGCCACCATTGGTGGTGTCCTATAGATGAGTGTCAGGATGGGTGCTCCTAAGGCTGTATCTTTTCTATGTTCATGGTCGCCAGCCTGCTGCTTGCTTCTTGTGGTTAGAACTTGAGACCATTGTGAGTACTAGTTCTTATGGTGAATGTGGCTTTTTTATTGCTACTGACTTCGTTATTAAAGTGCCTGAAATATGGGGCTGGCATGATTGCACTATGGGTAAAGACCCTTGTGACCAGGCCTCATTAGCTGTGTTTGCACTGGGGGACCCTTACGGTGAAATAGAGATCAGATTCTCCAAAGTTGTCCTCTGGCCTCCATGTACATTCCTTGGCATGCTTGCACACATAAAAATGAATAAATTAAAATATTTTAAGGATTGAAATATGATTTAATTAGGCCAAATGAAACTAGCAACACATAAGGACTCTTTCGGAAAGTAATACGTTGGATTGTTCGTGCTTGAAAAACCCAAGGCTTGGTGTTGAAGGAGGCGTGTTAATATGACCTGCTTCTTCTCAGAGGAGGAGTGTCAAGTTTCTGTGTTTTGGAAAAAATAATAGAATTTTAAACTATTATCAGTGAATCAATGATTAAATCAAGAGACAACATAGAAATGAATGGAGAAAAATAGGGCTAACCTGGGTTGATGATGAACACAGGCGGCATGAACTCAGGAGGATGCTTGTGTGCCTGGCGCTGTGGTCCATCCCAAGGCAGTGCTGCTGTTCACGTGCCCCTATTTAATGATATTATTGCTGTTGCATGGATATCAATCAACCAATGGATCAGTGAATCAATGGATATAGAAATCAGTGAACCTAAAAATAAGAGAGCGAAGCGTTGTCCAATTATAGCCATCGGCGATGAGGAAGAAAACATTGATGTGTTGAGAATCTGAAGGGCAAAGACAAGCAAATGTTTAAACTGTTAGATCCTGGCTGCTGATGGGAAGTTTGAAGAAGAGAAGGTGAAGTAAAGACTGTCTAAGTTAGGGTGGCCTACGCGAACGGCTCAGTGAAAGATGATCATCAAAGATCAGTGGAGGAGTGCCCGACTTGTTTGTGCTCCGTCCTCCTCAGGGCTGCTCCCAAGAAGACGGACACATGCCTCTTTGGTCAGGACCCCTGGGACTTGCACACCTGTGAGGACTCCGGTGCAGATGTGAGGAACAGTTTACTCATCTTTTCTTCTCCAACTATTAACCAGTATAATGAAGCCACAGCGTTCCAGACATCCCAAGCTTAATGTCAGAGTGTTTGAAGCAGAGTGGTGAACTGTTCCCTAGATGAAATCCTGATGGCAATAGCCCAGACATTTTGTCTCTGGCTAATACAACCTGCATAAAGATGGTAGGGACCTTGACACACATTATTCTCATATTGTATGACTTATTTGATTTACACATTAACTAAAAAATAGACCAATCTAGATGGCAGCAGAGAAAGGGGGCCAATCCTGGGCCAGTTCCGGACCGATGATGAGATCTGGTGGCGTGTGTGAGTCATTCACAAAAATCGCCAAGTATCCAGAAATCTGAGGTCAGACCTGAAGCAGTCTCATCCAGGCCACCTTGGATGGCGTCCTATGAATGGATGTCAGGATGTAGGAGTATCTCATTTGTGGTGCCCTTGTCCTTGAACTTTCCGTAATTGTAAAGTCATCAAGACGGCATAATAGGCAAATACATAAAATAGAGTTACTAAAGTACTTAGTGAGTGAAACAGGTCTTTGGTACTTAAAAAATATTCATTAAGATTTTGTCTGGTTTCGAAGACTTTGGAATAGATACGAATTTGATCAGATGCAGTAAAACGTATAGTGAAATATGATGAATCTTTATGTTTTAGTCAATTGTGTTGTAAAAGTCTACTTTATTCATAGAAAATGCAATAAGTGTTACCATACATAAACGTCTACAAGTCAAACGATGAGATGCGTAAGCCTAGGTCATTGGGAGAGACTCTCAGTGTGCCCATACCCTCTCTGTTTGTACTCCTCAGAATGCATGAACCCAACCAACAGGGGAGTTTGCTGTGATGGAGACTCCTTGGGAAATAGCAGAGTCATCCGTGAGTAACAACCAAAATTCTGATCTTCCTTTGCATACTTGATTCTAGGTATTCATAGTATCACTTAAATATTTACTCATAAATACAATAGATATTTATTAATGGTTGCAACTGGAAAGATAAAGGATTCAAAGGAACTTGGACATAGGGCATGGATATTTTCTTTTTATTTTGTATTCTACCAGAAAGTCTCTATTACCTGGCTGCAGTGTGTTGTCTCAGTCCATGCATACACTTCATAATGTTATAATCAATTTAATCTATCTACATCCTTAATCATTTCTTCATGATTCAAACATTCGAAACACTTTTATAGCCTTTTGGGACCTTCAACACCTAATTTTTCCCAATAGTTGCCCTGCGTGCAATGATACAGCAGAGGTTCATCAGTCTCTCTCACTCCATCTTAACACAAGTTGACCAGCCTCTCCACATCCCTTGTTCCTCAAAATCTTTCCCAGCTCTAGTAACCACCAGTCCACTCTCAATTTTTAGTAGACCAACCTTTTCTGTTCTGCATGTGAGTGATAACGCACTGTCCTTATTTCTCTGTGCCTGACTGACTGATTTAACTTTGTGTGACTACCTCTAGTGCTGAGTGTGTCGTTGCAAATGGTCAGACACCACACACTGTCCTTTATGCCTGAACAGATTCTGACAAGGCATTTATACTTAAAATAGTAAGGAATCGACAAAACTCTATAGCATAGATTCAACTAAATGTCATAAAAGATAGGCAATAGTCCTAAACATTAATCTTTCTGAAACAAAGATAGTCACATGACTAGATGTGCTAATATATTATTTATATTATAGTTTATATTCCCAATTTGAATTATTACATGCATTTATATCGTAATTCATGTTACTAATCAGGCAAGTCTAAGTTACAACCACAGCGAGATATCACCTCACTTTAGTCAGAATGATGATAATTAAAAAGGCATTAAGAGCTAACAAGGGTGTGCAGGGTGAGAAAAACCTTTGGGAAACATGAATGCAATGTAAATTAGGGTGGACATGTTGGCAAAGAGTTCAAGTTCTTCATAAGTTAAAAAGAGATCCATCTGATGGGCTAGCACATCCACTACTGGGCAGAGGTCCAAGGAAATGATTCCAAGGATGTCAGAGACACCTGTGTGCACACCTATATGGACGCCCTAGTCACAAGCCATTACCATCCTAAGTCTCAATCAACTGGCAGATGGATAGAGAAAATACGGCACATGTAAGAAATGGAACACTGGGACTGGAGAGATGGCTCAGCAGTTAAGGGCACTGACTGCTCTTGCAGTGGACCCAGGTTCGATTCCCAGCACCCATATGGCAGCTACAAACCGTCCTTAACTCCAGTTCCAGGGGAATCTGAAGCCCTCTTCTGACCTCCGCGGCATTGCACGACATGGGTGCATTCACATACATACAGGCAATACACTCATACACATAAAATAAAAATAATAAATAAAATTAAAAAAGAAATGGAATCCTATTCAACCATAAACAACAATTAAAATAAGCTCTTCACCATGGCGTAATAAAAATGTGGGTTATTCTTAATAGATCATGTGTCACATACAGGTTGACACATACGCTATGTGTCTCTTATCCAAACAGATGTTGAATTTGACAAACATCATTTTAGGTTTTTTTTAGTGTGAATTATGTGTTAATTATATCATTATCCTGGCAAAAGACAATGTAAAGAAATGTACACGGAAATGAAAACTAGGGCCAAACATGGACCAGTGATGATAATTAATGAATGAGCCTTGCATAGTGAATGCAATGTGTCTGGACTTTGGTATCCAGCACAAAAGTAGCATAACCCACTTTTCCAGTGAAATGTGTGCTCTAGAAAGATTCTGGAGTATCCCATTAGGGAACCTAATGTCCATGTCCATGCATTTTGCTTCTATCATTATACTTAGATGGATGAGAACATCAGTCAGTTAATCAATCAATAAACCAATCAAAGATATATGCTGATCGTGGACACTGTCAATGCATTAGGAAAACATCTTAGTCCAGTTTGATGGTAAGGGATCCCTTAGTCTTCCTTCTGACTAAAAGTGATATGGACAGTGTCATCACTCACATTATTGTTCATATAGATATGTTGAATTTGTTCATTTCCTTAAGAGATAAGTTGTATTATTTAGCTAATAAATGTACGGGTCATTCTCTAATTCATAGTTGAGAGGCAAGAATCATTGTCTATTTTTAAAATTGTTTATCGTC